TTAGTCCTTGTTTAGTCCTGGTTTAGTCTTGGCTTAGACCTGGTTTAGTCCCAGTTTAGTCCTGGTTTACTCCTTGTTTAGCCTTGGTTTAGTCCTGGTTTAGTCCCAGTTTAGTCCTGGTTTACTCCTTGTTTAGCCTTGGTTTAGTCCTGGTTTAGTCCCAGTTTAGTCCTGGTTTTGTTCTTGTTTAGTGTTGATTTAGTCCTGGTTTAGTCCTGGTTTAGTCTCAGTTTAGCCCAGATTAAGTCCTGGTTTAGTTCTGATTTAGTTCTTGTTTAGTTGAAAGCATCTAAAGCCTATCCATCCTGATATACACTTAGTTTAGTCCTGGTGTAGTCCCAGTTTAGTCCTAGTTTGTTTCTGGTTTAGTTCTAGTTTTCTGGTTCCAGTTCCATCTTGATTTAGTCCTGGATGATTCTATACTGTATGACCTTTTTATTCGTTACATAACATGGGAAAACATTATTGACTGGAGTCGTTCATATTGAGTACACAGACTCCTCGTGAGCCTGTGGGCCTGTGGGGTCTGGCAGGGTGAGCAGGGCCATTGACGACCTGTCACAAAGTCATCTCAACAAATCCGATAAACAGCCTCTCTGCATCTGCACCTGCACACGACGCCGATCTGAACAGTGACGGGAACAATACTCTGAAAAAGTATTTAGTTACACAACACTGAATACTGCATTAAAATGTGTTTTCTAACCTGTTCTGTTACGTGGTCCAATCAGAGTACTGTATTCCGAATACTTTTACGCAGAGTTGCAGTTAAATTATAGTGTAAACATCTTTATTTAAAATGTAAATTAAAGCAGCACCTATTGTACAAAATCGAGTAGTTGTTTCCTCTTTTCATTTACCCTCTCGGAGTTGTATTTGGAGTGATTCGTTCATGCTTGAGCGATCTTTAATAGCTTATTTTCAAGACGCTATATTGCTGACCAAACCCCGTTTTCAGCGCCACTGGCATCCGCCCTCTGCTCTGTACTTACTTTGTTCTCCAGTTTTATTTTCTTAATCAGAGATCCGCATACGAGTGGTACAAATGAAAAAATAAAAAGTGTGCTGCGCAGTTATCCATCAGGGGTGTGGACGCGATAGCTTGGAATTCATCGGACTTGTTTCTTTTATTAAGTTGTTTTAGATGAATATTGGGATTTAAAATGGGCAAATGATAACATAATGATCAGCTGGTCTCATAGATGACAACCATATAACAGGCTCAAGCACTAATATGTCTTCTTTAAAGGCCTTATATTACACAATATAGATTCCTGTGAGCTTTTAGTCATATTATAATGTTGTTACCTCCTGAAAAACAGACCTGGAGTTGTGTTTTGTTTCATTCACACATGTTTGAGTAACCCTACATTATCAGTCTGTCTACATCTCCAAAGCTCAAAATGCTCTGCTCCACTGTGTGATGTCAAGCAGTAGTTTTCAAGTTAACAGTTACATTTTACTTTGAGTTCAGTCGAGATTGTCAATTCCAGACCTGAAATGATTCTAGTGAAGGTGTATGGAGATAGTTTAGTTTTTCTTTAGTCAATTAACATAATCGTTTATCATATTACAATGATTTAACACAGAAATTATTCATATTCACTAAAGTTATTCTACAGACTGAAGAGGTTTAGGCTGAAGTTTTAACACTCATTTTGCCAAACCCTATTAACAAATAGAACAGGATACAAGACAGCAGAACTATTTACAGAAAACAACACAAAAGTCATCTTTTATGAGTGCATTTTGGTAGGCAAAAAGCGTCCGTAAGAAGTCAACATCAACATCATCATCAGTTATCAGCAGTACAACATCAACATCATCATACAGCAGTACAACATCAACATCATCATACAGCAGTACAACATCAACATCATCATACAGCAGTACAACATCAACATCAGCAGTACAACATCATCATACAGCAGTACAACATCAACATCATCATACAGCAGTACAACATCAATACAGCAGTACAACATCAACATCATCATACAGCAGTACAACATCAGCAGTACAACATCATCATACAGCAGTACAACATCAACATCGCAGTACAACATCAGCAGTACAACATCAACATCAGCAGTACAAGCAGTACAACATCAACAGCAGTACAACATCATCAAATGCAACAACATCAACATACATTCAACAATCAATACAAGTTCATCATCATAACAGCACATCAACACAATGCAGTAAACATGTCAACACAAACGAGTGACCCCACTGGCTTTTTGCCTACCAGCGACTGCACACGTGCGGAAAAGCTGGATGTAAACAAAAAATATGTTTTCTCGTATTCTTTTGGTATACACACATACACAATACAGACACACAATCCAATACACGTCAGTGTTCACACACACACACACACACACAGACCCATGTGCAGTTGTTAGTAGAATACAAGAATGCAAAGGGTTTGCCTGTAAAGAATGAGTTAAAGGTCCTGTTGGTGCATCACTCATGCTCATACTTGGTCTCGTATCTATTTTTGTTCAATGGTGTTTGTTTATGTGGTGCTTGTGTTGTCCTGTTTTTTGATAAAGCACATGACCCCCTGTCCCAAAGACAAATCCCACTCCCATGGGAGACAATAAAGGATTACCTTATCTTATCTTACACACTGGTATTCATACCTATTAGTATATAAATATTCATATTCATTACTTTGTAAATTCCTTGAGCTAAAATATGATTTATTGCACAGTATTTCTCTGTATCCTGTATTTCTGTCTTACCACATGACATCACAAGGTGGACCAGAGTGTTTTCAGTTTGAGAAAAGAACTCAGCCTGGCAGGGTTTTTGTGTTAAACATGTGAATGAAACAAAACACAACTCCAGGTCTGTTTGTGATGAGGAAACAACATTAGAACATAAGAAAACAGCGTAATAAGAGCCCTTTAACAGATCATTCCTGGTCTGACGAAGGTTTTCTAAATAGTGACTGTTTAAAAGTCTATTCCGTCACTTGAGCTGTATTTGAAGGGAATCGTTATTTGAGCCTGTTTGTGCGCTGCATTGTACCAGACAAATGGGCTTTGACTGAACACAGTAAATGCACTGAGCTTTATAATTACCAGTTACACAATAGAACTCCATTTAGAGGCCCAGCAATAAGCCCCTGTCATTACATTTCAGTTTGGATTTTATTTTGAAATTGAAGTCACTTTTTGATTAGTCAAGGTTTACTTTGACTTATTTCTCCTGTTAAAAAGAATACACCCACATTTCTACACTGTGCACTATGTCACTTTTTGGTCGGGGATCTGTCACCTGCTTGTTTCTATGGAGATGTCATTGCTCAGCCTGGAATGTTACACAGTATAACATTAAACAACTCTACATTTAGTCAATTACAGGTGGTTTTATAGCTCAAACATACATATAAAAACTAATATTTGACCTGTAACTTCATCTGGTTTAGTCTCCACGAAGATAGAAAGGTTTAATGCCATACTGCGAAACATTCCAGACAAAGCAATAACATCTCCATGGAGACAAAGTTACACAAAAAAGATCAAGTACAGGCTGAAAATAAAATGCATTTAAAAGAAAGTTTCAGAAATAAACAGGAGGTATTACACTTCTGTTGGTAACATGTAACATTTAGATCAGCATGTTACCTTTTTACTAAGTCGCTCCCCCTTCAGAGCGCTATCATTCTGTTGTAGTGTACTGTTTTGTATCATGCTTTTGTATATTTGTGGATAACTGTTCTGCCCTATAAAAGTAAAAGAGCTTAACCTGCCAGAGTGTGAAACAGAGAAAAATGACTTCAAAGTTTCTGTTTTGTCCAGACAAAAGTACAACAAGCAGGGCTCCCAAAATCTGACATCTAGTTACTATAATGAAGAAATATTTGTATGCGAAAAATATTGAGCTCAGAATTGACCTTTGACCCTTATTTGGCAGTTCCTGTACTCTGCCTTTTTATCATGAGCCAAAAATAAAGAATTGTACAAGGCAAAAGGCAGTTACATCCATTATAAGAAAAACACCTCACCAAAGTCCAGTCATCATGGAGTTTGTTTGACATGATAGAGAAGAGTTTTGGATTTCCTGTTTAGTGCTGATCAGGATCGTGCGGTGACACTTACACAGTTAAACAGTTTGACACACAAATTACTTTGCAGTATAGTGTGTACAGTATGAATAAATACACCAAATACTTAAAGATAACTGAAGTATAATTGAATACAAAGGTTTATTTATTTAATGAGTTAAGAATCTGTGCCAAGGCTGCAACAAAAACAGAAGGTGAGAGGTTGGATTTCAAAATAAAATATATGCATTAACTAAATCACAACCAAAACAGACACTGTTACTGCCTTTTGCCTTTGCACGAAAACTTATTTTTGGCTGGAGTACAGGAACTGACAAATAAAGGTCAAAGATCCATTTTGAGCTCAATATTTTTCACGATATTTATTCCCATGATAAAGAATGTCTCAAATACAAACAAAATGACATGAACTCATTTTTCACCAAACATGATGTTATGGCGTTCGGGCTTTTCTAGGGCAGTGTTGTGTGGGAGCATGGGTGTATTGTGGGCGGAGCATTGGACACACTGCTGGCCAAAAGGAGAGTTTGAATAGGGCCTGGCAGAGATCGCTAGATTATTCAAACATGAGTGACATATAGAACCTCTTCTTCAGGCTTCTTCTCTCATATGGAAATCACTGTGCTCCACCTTGTGATGTCATGTGTTAAAATAGGGAGTGTTTTTTAAATTCCATACACCTTCACTAGAATCATTTGGATGATTTGAGACCCGGATTGATCATTTCTACTGAACTAAAGGTAAAATGTAGCTGTTAATTTGAAAACTACCACTTTTTGAGTTTTTTTGAGCTTTGGAGATGTAGACAGACTAATAATGCAACAACTCTGGGACTGTTTTTGAGGAGGTAATATCATCATAACACGTCTTGAAGCTCACAAGAGTCAGTTTGGTGTAATATAGGACCTTTTTTGTGTTGCAGGTCTTTGAATTATGGAGGGATTGGAGCGATTATTGGTCATGAGCTCACACACGGATACGACGACTGGGGTAAGAACCTTCCAGTTATTAATCATGACCATATACTAGCCATATTCACAATAATACAAACTAACTTAAATATATATGGAATACTATACAGCTGCATCGCTACTACTACAAAATCATGCATTTACTTTCATGTCCTTTGTTACCATCAGATGTGTTGAGAGACATTTAGACTAGCCCTTCCTTTCAAATAAAATATTGGGGAGGGTTGCTTGTTAACTCCCCTGATTAACAATTTGTCATTATATAATTTAAAGGGTCCATGTTATTCAATTTTCTGATCTATGTTATAATGTTGTGTAGTTCTTAAAAACAGACCCGGAGTTGTGTTTTGTTCCATTTAACACGTTTAACTCAAACAGAAAACACCCTGTTCCACTTTATGATGTCATGTGGTAAGACAGGCAGTGCTCCATTGTGTTTTTAAACTCCATACACCTTCACTAAAATCATTTGGATCACTTTTCAGATCAGTAATTGCCTATTTCTACTGAACTAAAAAACTACCACTTAATGACATCTGTTACGACGCAGCTCTGCTAGGGACAGGGGAAGTGACAAAAGAATCAAGTAGGGATGTAACAAAAAACCAAAATATCGTGATACTGTATCGTCAAAGTTTTCACAATAATATCGTGGATCATCTCAATATATCGAATCACAAGTCTCTTTGCTTAAATTAAGAGTTATGCTGCAGCAACAGCTAAAGAAAACAAAGGGAACTACATAGACCATGATCCTTTGCTCCATTTCAGTGCAGACTACAAGAAGAAATAAGCACTTTTAAGTCTAAGTTCTTTGGATTAAGTCTTGTCACGGCATTTTAAGAGGAAACAGTAGCATATTCACAGTTTTGTTAGCCTCCATAAAATATTGCAATAAATATCGAACCGTGAGACGTATATATCTTGAAAATATTGTACCGAGACATTTGGATATTGTTTCATTCCTAATCGTGAGTCTCCCCCCCATATCATGAGTTTTCCCACGATATCGCAATAAATATCATACCGTGAGGTTCATACCGTGACAATATTGTATCATGAGACTTGGATATTGTTACACCCCTAGAACCAAAGTGTAGCAGTAATTTATTTAAAAGGAATGTAAAGGTAAAAACTAACAGTAGGCTAAAAGTTGGCTAACAAAAACACAGTATATAAATGACAATAACAGAGACACAAACCAGTCTTAAAACTAAGTCATAAACAATTATTAGTGTCTCAAGGTTCACAAAGTTGCACAAAACTACAGGGAGACACAGCAGATGTGGCAGAAGAGCAGCCATGAGCGGGAGGGGGCAGATCCTTTTAAAGTGTGGCAGCCTCAGGTGAAGGCCTGGGATTGGCCAGGTGTTAGGGCGACGCACCAATCAGCTGAAAGGAACCCAGATGCCAGGTTGAATTGAATCCACCAATCACAGCAGGGGTCTGGCAGATGGAGGCTTGTATGCACACACAGGAATGGTGGAACAGAGCATTTTGATATTTGCACATGTGACAGACTAATAATGCAGGATTACTCAAAAAACGTGTGAATGAAACAAAACACAACTCCAGGTTTGTTTTTGATGAAGTAACAACATTATGACATGACTTAAAGAGATCATTTTGAGTACTATAGGACCTTTAACCTCCATTGTTCATGTTTTGAGTTTAGTCATTTCTATGTTATGTTATGTTATGTTTTAACTAATAATTATATCAGAAGTGGAAAGTAACCAACATTTATATAAATTGTGTTTACTACCTCCTGAAGATCTCTTACTGATGTTATCACTTTGCTTGTAATGTTCCTCTCATATAACTTATATTTTGTATTTATTTTAGATGTTTTAATTGCTCAAAAAATCCATCCTAAAAAATGCATATATACTGGGCATATATACTGTGACTTATGTGGAGAAATGTGAAGGGGAAAAAAGCACTGAATGAATTACAATTTTTTTTTTTAAAAGAAAGAAAAATGCATCCTACTGTGAGTAAGCTCGCCTCACCACAGATCTGGCCAGTAAACTTCAAAACACCTGTTCTGTAAAGATTGATGAGGTTTTTGTTATACTGTGGAACATTACAGACAAAGAAATAACATCTCCATGGCAACAAGCAGGTGGCACACCCTCTACCAGAAAAGTTCCACAATGCAGTTTTGAAGGTGAACTTTTACTGGTGGAGGGTCCGTCACCTGCTTGTCTCCATGGAGATGTTATTGCTTTGTCTAGAATGTTCCATGGTAGAGATTAAACCTATCACAATGGAGACAACTATAGTCTACATTACAGGTCAGATCTGTGGAGAGGCGAGCCTTTTCACAGAGAGAATTATTGTATTTTTGTTCAATAAAAACACCCCTAATGAATAAATGCTAGATAGATGTGTTTAAAGTCATATCGTGGAACATTCCCGGCAAAGCAATAACACCTATGGAGACAAGCAAGTGGCACGCCTTCTACCAGAAAAATTCCACATTGCGGCTTTTAATCTGGCTACTTATTCCACTTCTGAGATTTGTCATTTACCAACACAATCTCAGCTGTTGCTTAGAGTCCACAGAGCTGCGCACGCTCCAAATTGAAAGCCATTAAAACTTCAGCAAACCAAGCAGTGCACTGGTGGCTGCTTGTATCATAATATAAGGACGCGTACCCGGCGGCTCTGTGGACTGTAAAAAGGCAGTTGCAGATTGTGTGAGCCCGTTGCTAACTCGCTGCTGCCCTCTCCTGGCCTCAGTGCTGAAATGGTTCATGTCTCCAGGGGGCCAGTACGACCGCTTTGGTAACCTGCAGCAGTGGTGGACCGAGGACTCCTACAGGCAGTTCCAGAGAAAGGCAGAGTGCATCGTTAAACTCTACGATAATTTTACCGTCTACAACCAGAAGGTGGGGCTGTGGGAGGATAGGATTTTAAAGGAACCATATTGCGCTATTTTCAGATCTGTGTTATAATGTTTCCTCATCACAAACAGACCTGGATATATGTTTTGTTTTGTTTTGTTCACATTTTTCACACACAAACCCTGTACATTTAAGATGAATTCTTCTCTCAAACAGAAAACACTCAGTTCCACCTTGTGATGTCATGTGGTAGTACAGAAAGTGCTCCAAAGTGTTTTTAAAAGTGCTTTAAACATGCTTTCACTAGAATCATTTGGATCATTTCAGCTCTAGAATTCCCAATCTTTACTGAAAAAGAGGTTAAACAAAACAAATCAAAGGTAGCTGTAAACTTGAACACTACCACTACATGACATCACAAGGTGGAACAGAGCATTTTGAGCTTTGGAGATATAGGCAGATTAATAATAAAGGATTATTCAAACATGTGTGAATGAAAAAAACACAACTCCAGGTCTGTTTTTGATGAGGGAACAACATTGTAACATGACTAAAAGCTCACAAGAGTCCATTTTGCGTAATATAAGATCTTTAACAGGCAAACCCTACATATTTAGGCGTTTAGGAGTTCTTCTCTCAAACAACACCCTGGTCCACCTTGTGATGTCATGAGGTATTACAGGAAGAGCTCCATTAAGATACGCTATAATACGATACATACCTCTTTACATGGGCCACAATACGATACATATCTCGCTAAAGTGCACTTTCAATTCAATATGATTCAATACCATATATTTCAAATCGATTTGATACAATTCATTAAAAAGTAAAGGCTAAATCATGTCCGTGATACTAAAAGTCTTTGTTAAACCACTTTTTGTGAAAAGTGAAATTGAAACACAAATATTTTAATCAACAAAACAGTGAATATGTCATATGTGTCACATAAATGAGTTTCCTTCCTCTAAACAAACAACAAAATTATAGCTCTGTAACAAAATAATTGAGTAAAATATACCAAAAAATACTCTTGGTGATATATTGATAAAGCAGCCCACGATATCGATAGTGTTTCATCACATTAAAAGGTAAGATATATCGATATTCTGATATTTTTGCATACCCCTAGTTTTTAAACTGCATACACTTTCACTAGAATCACTTGGATAACTTCAGCTCTAGATTTCTCCACATCTCTACTGATAAAAGGGTAAAAAGGCAGCTGTACACATCTGTAAACATCACAAGGTGGATCAGAGCATTTTGAGCTTTGGAGATGATGTAGACAGACTAATAATGCAGTGTTACTTAAACATGTGTGAATGAAAAAAAACACAAATTTGACAAAATACTAGTAGAAGTAGAAGAAGCTTAAAATAAACTAAATTGAAAAGGTGCTGGAAATCATTTAAAAGACCAGAAATGATCCTTGTATTTGTTCTGTCAGGTAAAAGAATGTAAAACTGTAACTTAACTTCAATTTAACTTAACAACAAAAGCAACAACAAGTCAGTAATCTTACACAAAGCTTAAATCTGCAAGCATTAAAAACATATACACTTATTCAAAGTGGTGAAGTGTCTTGCCCATGGACACAACAATAATGCTGGTAGCCTACAGGAGACTGACCATGTGTCTTCAGTTTAAACGGGCAGTGGTTTTACTCCTATATCATGAGTAACAACTCTTTAAAGGGTCCATGTTACACTGATATGGGCCCTTTAATGCTGAGTTTTTCTTTCAAATAGAAAACACTATGTTTCACCTTGTGATGTCATGTTGTAATACAGGAAGTGCTCCACTGTGTTCATAAACTCCATACACCTTCACTAGAATCATTTGGATGATTTCAGCCCTGGAACTATCAATCTCTACTGAACTAAATGCAAGAGGAGCTGTTAACTTAAAAACTACCACTGCACGACATCATAAAGTGGAACAGAACATTTTGAGCTTTGGAGACGTACGCAGACTAATAATAAAGGTTTGCTCAAACATGTGTGAATGAAACAAAACTAAACACATCTCCAGGTATGTTTTTGAGAAGGTAACAACATTATAACATTTCTTAAAGCTCACAAGAGTCATTTTTGTCAAAAGTTTTAGAACACCCTCATTTTTCCAGTAATTTATTGCAATTCACGTCATGCAAGTCCAATGAAGAGCTTGAAACGGTACAAAGGTAAGAACTGAACAGAGGTTAAAAAAAGATAAACGATACTAAACATAAGTCCAAGTGCTGCCAAAATTACCTCAGGAAAAAAGAACAAGATGGTGACGTTTGAAAACATGGAGTGTCCAGCACAGTGTCCAGACTTAAACCCCACTGAGCTGGTTTGGGATGAACTGGACTGAAGAGTGAAGCAACCTACAAGTGCCACATGTTTATGGAAACTTCTACAACAGACTTGGGAAGAACTTTCTGAAGACTATTAGATTTCTATTGTGAAAAGAACGAACCACGAGTGTCTTCAGCTGTTATATCTGCCAAAGATTCCTGTAACAAAGTTTAGAATATGTTTTGGTCAACAGTAAACAGTAAAAAACTGGAAAAAGTGTGGTGTTCTAAAACTTTTGACTGGTACTGTATAATAATGTAGTTTCTTCTTACAGTTTCATGTATTGTTGTTTTTGTGTGTCCAGGTGAACGGGCGCCTCACTTTGGGGGAAAATATCGCTGACATGGGAGGACTCAAGCTCTCCTACTATGTAAGTTTTGTGAGATTCTCATAGCTGTTAACTTTAAAACTACCACTTCATGACATCACGAGGTGGAGCAGAGCATTTAGAGCTTTGGAGATGTAGACACACTAATCATAAAGAGTTACTCAGACATGTGTGAATGAAACAAAACACAACTCCAAGTCTGTTTTTGTGGAGGTAACGTTTCTGGTGGAGAGTCCAAGATGTTATTGCTTTGTCTGGAATGTTTCACAGTATGGTATTAAACATTTCTATCTTCATGGAGACCAAATCAGACCAAGTTACAGGTCAGATCTGTGAAGAGGCGACCCCACTCAGTCAGAATGCCTGTTTTTGTAGGTACTTTTGAGCTCTAAAACCGCTGTAATTGAATAAATGTAAGGTAGAGCTGTGGAACATTCCAGGCAGAACAATGACATATCCATAGAAACAAGCAGGTGACGGACCCTCCACCAGAAAAGTTACACAGTGCACCTTTAAACCTCACGAGAGTCCCTTTTGTGTAATATGGGACCTTTAAACTAAGTATTGTGTCTGGACATGCGTTGTGTTCGATTGCAGGCCTATCAGAAGTGGGTGAGAGAGCACGGGCCAGAGAGACCCCTCCCCGGTCTGAAGTACACACACGAGCAGCTGCTGTTTATCGCGTTTGCTCAGGTACTACAAACCCCCCCGTCCTCTAAAACACACACACACCTCTGTGGTTTTCAATCTGGTTATGGGGTTTGGCCAGTGTTTCTCAAACTGTGGTGCAAGTACGGCTGTGGACTGGTGGTGAGTATGGTTACTTTGGTGGTATTTAAGAGTTTAGACCTGGGATAGTTCTTCTGACCTGGATCAGATCTGGTATAAACATGGACCTGGTTTAGACCTGTTTTGGACCTGATTTGGATCTGGTTTGGACCTGGTTTGGATCTGGTTTTGTCCTGGTTTAGATCTGGTTTAGACCTGGTTTGGACTTGGTTTAGACCTGGTTTGGACCTGGTTTAGTCCTGGTTTAGATCTGGTTTGGACCTGGTTTGGACCTGTTATAATCCTGCTTCAGACATGGCTGAGATCTGACATAATTTTATTTGGACCTGGTTTGGACCTGGTTTGGACCTGGTTTAGCCCTGATTTGAACCTGGTTTAGACCTGGTTTAGATCTGGTTTAGACCTGGTTTAGATCTGGTTTAGATCTGGTTTAGACCTGGTTTAGACCTGGTTTAGACCTGGTTTAGATCTGGTTTAGACCTGGTTTAGACCTGGTTTAAACCTGGTTTAGACCTGGTTTGGACCTGGTTTAGACCTGGTTTAGATCTGGTTTAGACCTGGTTTAGACCTGGTTTAGACCTGGTTTAGACCTGGTTTAGACCTGGTTTAGACCTGGTTTAGACCTGGTTTAGACCTGGTTTAGACCTGGTTTAGAACTGTTATAATCCTGCTTCAGACATGGCTGAGATCTGACATAATTTTAGTTTGGACCTGGTTTAGACCTGGTTTAGATCTGGTTTAGACCTGGTTTGGACCTGCTTTGGACCTGGCTGAGATCTGGTTTAGTCCTGGTATAGACCTGGTTTAGACCTTGTTTAAATCTGGTTTATACCTGGTTAAGACTTGGTTTAGACCTGGTTTAGACCTGTTATAATCCTGCTTTGGACCTTGTTTAGATCTGGTATATCCAGGTTTAAATTAGACCATAATCCTGGTTTAGATCTAGTCTACAGTACATATTTGTCCTAATTTGGATTGTAAAGTGTAAATCTGGTTTTAGTATAGTTTTAAAGGTCCACTCTGTAATTTTTCTTGTCTGGGAGACTTGGGGAGGTCACCTTCTTGTCTCGTGGAGATAAATATGTTTTTTGGTCATACTGTGAAACCTGCCAGGTAAAACAATAACATCTCCATGGAAACAGCAGGTGGCATGCTCAGAAACAGAACAGAAAAGTTTCATTGTGCACCTTTAAAATATATCATTTTGTATCATTAGTTTACAAATCACAAGGTTAAGATTGCACATACCCCACGGAGCAGATAGGATTATCCCACTTAGCTAAAAAGCACCATTACAATCCATTAAAATCCATAATTTCTTAATGGGAGAAGCTGAGGCTGAGACACACTTCGTAATACAGTGTGTAGTGAACTAATTACAGAGTAGATCCATTTGCATTTCTTTTCACTATGAGTTAAAAACACTATCATTTCGAAGACAAATGGCGTTGGGGTGTGCATTTAAATGTGTTTAATGTTAGAATTACACTTTAAATATATTTGTTTTTTGTTTTTGGTCAGAACTGGTGCATGAAGAGGAGATCTCAGTCCATTTATTTACAGCTTCTGACGGACAAGCACGCCCCAGAACACTACAGGTGAGACACATTTATGTATGACCTCTGTCGGGAGTAACGTGTTATAAAAGGAACAAATTACTGTAATCCATTCCTTTTTGTTGTAACGCAGTAATGTAAGGCTTGTTACAGCGCTTATACAATGAAATGGTAGGTTTTTTGTTTTCCTTCATACAAATTCTCTAAAATCACTGCAATATCAGCAGCGATGAAATGCCAGAGGTGTGCCCGCATAGACCGTCGGGTAACTGCGGGCAAAAGGACCGGTGCAGAGCTCTCGCTCCATGGAACTAATCACAGCTGAGACCCAATCGCTCTTTGCGGAGACACTGCTCCATGAGCTCGGTGTTCTCTCTAGATTCCAAGTCCTAATCCAAGATTAAGTCCTGGTTTAGTCATGGTTTGGTCCTGGTTCAGTTCTGGTTCAGTCCTGGTTCCATCCTGGTTCCATCCTGGTTTAGGCCTGGTTTAGTCCTGTTTCAGTCCTCCTGGTTCAGTCCTGGTTCAGTCCTGGTTCAGTCCTGGTTCAGTCCTGGTTCAGTCCTGGTTCAGTCCTGGTTTAGTCCTGGTTCAGTCCTCCTGGTTCAGTCCTCCTGGTTCAGTCCTGGTTCAGTCCTGGTTCAGTCCTGGTTTAGTCCTGGTTCAGTCCTCCTGGTTCAGTCCTGGTTCAGTCCTGGTTTAGTCCTGGTTCAGTCCTGGTTCAGTCCTGGTTTAGTCCTGGTTCAGTCCATATATGGTGCAAAAGTTATTTTACAGTTATTTTGGTGAGAGTAACTTAAAAGTGCTGCAGTAGTTGTGTAATGTCTCACATTTTAAATGCAGTAATACTGTAATGTAACAAATTAGTTTGAAATAACAGTAACGAGTAATAAATAACACATTACAGTTTTGAAGTAACTTGCCCAACAGTGCCTATGACAATATGAGTACTACAGTATATCTACTGTTTTATGTCATAATAATTATTTTTGGATCAGTATTTGTCATATTTCTTTGTATAAGTGAGGATATTTTTCTCTTTTTTTGTGCAGAACATAAATATTTGAGATTCCTGAGGGTTGAATAATTTACATCTCATACATTTAGAGTTTCATTGCGTTATTTCAGGTCAGGTTTTGAAAAGTATTAGCCTCATTTAAACTGCTTCACTCCTAAGTCCATCAACAGACTCAGAACTGTTTTTTAAGGTGTTCAAGGTCTCAGTCACAGTCTGGCATTAAACCTTTATATTATTATGGAGACTAAACGAGACAAAGTTCAGGTCAGATCTGTGGAGAGGTGACCCCGCTCACAGTCAGAAGGTTGTTTTGACCTGGTTTAGACCTGTTACAATCCTGCTTCAGACCTGTGTGAGATCTGGTATAATCATAGTTTAGACCTGGTTTAGACCTGGTTTAGGCCTGGTTTAGACCTGGTTTAGACCTGTTTTAATCCTGCTCCGGACCTGGCTGAGATCTGGTATCATAAGGAGACTAAACAAGACCAAGTCCAGGTCAGATCTGTGGAGAGGCGACCCCACTCACAGTCAGAAGGTTGTTTAGACGTGGTTTAGACCTGTTATAATCCTGTTTCGAACCTGGCTGAGATCTGATATTCTCATGATTTGGATCTGGTTTGGGCCTGATTAAGACCTGTTTAGACCTGTTATAATCCTGCTTCAGACCTGGTTGAGATCTGGTATCATAAGGAGACTAAACGAGACCAAGTCCAGGTCAGATCTGTGGAGAGGCGACCCTGCCCACAGTCAGAATGTTGTTTTGACCTGGTTTAGACCTGTTATAATCCTGCTTCGGAACTGTCTGAGATCTGGTATAATCATGGTTTGGACCTGGTTTGGACCTGGTTTGGACCTTTGGATCTGGTTTAGACTTGGTTTAGACCTGGTGTAGACCTGGTTTAGACCTGTTATAATCTTGCTTCGGACCTGTCTGAGATCTGTTGTTTTTCAAGGTATTTTTGAGCAATAAAACCACCTGTAGTTGAAAAAATGTAAGGTAGAGCTGTTTAATGTCACACTGTGGAACATTCCTGGAGCTGTAACATATCCATAGAAACAAGCAGGTGACGGACTCCAACTAAAAAGTCACATAGTGCACCTATAAACTTCAAACTTACATAATCTTCCATTTGCTCAAACATGTTCTGAGATCTATAAAAAGACAACTTTACATAAAAAATGAGCTGTTTGGTCCAAAATCTCTGAGCTTTTTCCATCAGTGCTGTCAGAGATGAGGCAGAATGAGATCTGAGCTCAGAGACAAGAAACTAGTTTGTGGAAGTTTGTGCTTTGTCTGTATGTAAAACTTTTAGTAAGAATTTTATGTCATGTTTAATAATTGAAAGCCCAGATCTCTTGAGAGGCAGCAGCGCTCGCCATAAGAATGCTGCTTTTCAAGATATTTTTAGCAGTAATAATAATAAAAATGTAATTGAACAACTCCAAGATAAATAGCCAATCCAATCCAGTCCAACTTTATTTGTATAGCACATTTTACCAACACAAAATCTCCAAAGTGCTGCACAGAGTAGCACAAAATAAATGGATATATTAAATAAAATAAAGCATAAAATAAATAAATAAATAAATAAATAAGCAAGCACTGTTGGGCAAGTTACTTCAAAACTGTAATATGTTATTTATTACTTGTTACTGTCATTTCAAAGTAATTTGTTACATTACACGATGACTTCATTACTTTTCAGTTACTCTCACCAAAATAACTGTGCCAAGATGCCCAACTTTTGTGCCATATATGGACTGAACCAGGATTAAACCACAACTGAACCAGAGCTGAACCAGGTCTAAACCAGGACTGAACCAAGGACTGAACCAGGACTGAACCAGGACTGAAACCAGGACTGAACCAAGGACTGAAACCAGGACTGACCAGGACTGAACCAGAACCAGGACTGAACCAGGACTGAACCAAGGACTGAACCAAGGACTGAACCAGGACTGAACAGAGGACTGAACCCGGACTGAACCAGGACTGAACCAGGTCTAAACCAGGACTGAACCAAGGACTGAACCAGGACTGAACCAGGTCTAAACCAGGAACCAGGACTGAACCAGGACTGAACCAGGTCTGAAACCAGGACTGAACCAGGACTGAACCAGAAACCAGGACTGAACCAGGACTTGAACCAGGTCTAAACCAGAGCTGAACCAGCTGGACTAGCGAACTTTGTACTGAAAAAAACGAAAAAGCCACCACTTCAATCCAGGTTAAAAAAAAGCTTTGTAACACACATCACTGACATTTGTACCGAGTCAAATATTACATTCTTTCCCCTGTAATGCCTTACGTTACTACATTACAGCAAAAATCTATGGATTACAGTAATTTGTTACTTTTATAATGTGTTACTCCCAACACTGAAAATGAACGTGGAGCCAGTGCAATGAGGATAAAATAGATGTGATGTGTTCTCTATGATGTATGCCGGTTAAAAAACATGCTGCAGAATTTTGAATACATGTAGAGATAAAAACATGGATCACCTGCTGCAAATCACTTAAAGATAAAACCGATTTGAGTCTGGACAAAAGCTGCAGGTGATAAAAACTGGATTTAATCACTGCATTTATCTGCTTGTCAAACTTAAAATCTTCATCAACAACGCTGTAGGTTTAGTATATTGTTGAAACGAGCTCATGTCAAACTGAAATAAGATTAATGCCACACTGTGAAACATTCCAGGCAAACAAATGACATCCCAGTGGAGAAAAACAGGTTGCACACCCTCCTGAAAAGTGACATACTGCACCTTCAAGTGATTCAGGCTCATTAAAAGAGTTTCTTGTGTCTTCTTGCAGAGTGATCGGCAGCGTGTCCCAGTTCGATGAGTTTTCCAGAGTTTTCCACTGTCCCAAAGGCTCCCCCATGAACCCCCCCGAGAAGTGCTCCGTGTGGTGACAGCAGAACTCAACCAGGACTAACCCAGGACCGGGCCAGGATCAAGAAAACTGAACCAGGAGGATCAACGAAACCAGACTAGATCATCATTGTTCCCAAAGCTCGCCAAGTCCAGAGCTGCAACAGAATTTAACCGGGACTAAACACGGACCAGATAAAGACCTCTCAAAATCCAGACCTAGACTCGAGACCTGTCTGGGACCTCAAACACTAGACCAGGACTGCCAAAACCCGACCAGGATCTTGGACTTGGACCCATCTTGTCCCCTTCATGTGGATCTCACTCTCTTCAAATCCCTGTAATGACTGTAGAGCGCTTTCATGTACATACCTCGTATCCATCTTATTCTATATATTTTTCTACATTTTCTTTTATTTTGAAATCATCTATTTTTGTATCGTAGCAACAGATATATCACATACGAGCAGATATATGTTACTTTTACTTTATTGTTTGTCCTCATTTTCAATATTTTACAGTTCAATAAGTGAGGGGAAAGTGCAGTTTTAGTAGCTCAGTTGAGAGCGTAAAGAATTATACAATAGCTGTTTTTATTTTCAACATTATATTTTGCATTGGGGTTGTCAAAAATATCGAAAATCAGATACTAATCAATACTAGAATTAGTATCAAAACCAAATACTCATTGATACTAAAAATATCCCTGGATATATAATAATATACCTGGAGTTATGTTTAGTTTTGTTAACACGTTTAAGGCACAGATCTTTCATATTAAGGCTTCTTAGTTCTTTTATCAATCTCAGTTCTACCTTGTGATGTCATGTGGTAATACAGGAAGTGCTCCACTGTGCTTTTAAACTTCATACACCTTCATTAGAATCATTCTGGATCATATCGGTCCTGGAATCTCAATCTCTACTCTGGATATCAGATGAACGTTTGTTTAAAAAAAAGACTTGAAAACTGCCGCTTCATGACATCACAAGGTGGAACAGACTAATCATAAAATGTTACTCAAACAGGACTTCTGGAGTAAACATCAGGAGTAAACCTGGTCTAAACCAGAACTAAACCTGGACTAAACCAGGTCTAACTCAGAACTAAACTAGGACTCAACCAGGTCTAACCCAGATATAAAGCAGGGCTGGACCAGGTCTAACCCAAAACTAAATCCAGACTACACCAGGTCTAACCCAAAACTAACCCAGGACTAAACCAGATCTAACCCAGAACTAAAGCAGGGCTGCACCAGGTCTATCCCAGAATTAAACTAGAACTAAACGAGGTCTTACTTTGAACTAAACCCGGAAAAAAACTATTTCTAATCCAGAACTAAAACAGGACTCAACCAGGTCTAACTCAGAACTAAACCAGGTCTAACCCAGAACTAAGATAGAACTAAACCTGGTCCAACCGAGAACTAAAGCAGGACTGAACCAGGTCAAACCTAAAACTAAACCATGACTAAACCAGGGTTTACCCAGAACTAAACCAGGACTGAACCAGGTCTATTTCAAAACTAAAGCAGGACTGAACCACGTTAAACCAGAAGTAAACCAAGGCTGAACCAGGTCTATCCCAGAACTAAAGCAGGTCTAATCCAGAACTAAGGCAGGACTCAACCAGGTCTAACTCAGAACTAAACTAGGACTAAACCAGGAACTACCCTGAACTAAACCAGGACTGAGGCACGTCAAACCAGAAGTTAAAACTAAGGCTCAACCAGGTTTGACCCAGAACTAAGATTTGACTAAACCTGGTCTCACCCAGAACTAAACCAGGTCTAACTCAGAACTAAACCAGGACTAAACCAGGGTTTACCCAGAACTAAACTGGGACTGAACCAGGTCTATTTCAGAACTAAAGCAAAACTGAACTACGTCAAACCAGATGTAAACCAAGGCTGAACCATGTCTGATCCAGAACTAAGATAGGACTAAACCAGGTCTAACCCAGAACTAAAGCAGGACTGGACCAGGTCTAACCCCGAATTAAAGCAATTCTTACCCAGAACTAAACCAGGACAAAAAAACTAGGTCTTACTTTGAACTAAACCAGCACTAAACCAGGTCTTACCCAGAACTAAACCAAGATTGAACCAGGTTTATTTCAGAAAAACAAACTAAACAAGGACTAAACCAGTTCAAACCTGAAGTAAACCAAGGCTGAACCAGGTCTGACCCAGAACTAAGATAGGACTAAACCTGGTATAATCCAGAACTAAAACAGGACTGAACCAGGTCTAACCTAGAACTAAAGTAATATTATTTTGTGCTGACAATTACACAATATCGTCTAAAAAAGAACCTTTTTATTATCATGGTGGTATCAAAATCAGTATCATGTATCGAATAATTTCTCAGTATCGAAATCCAGTTTGAAATTTCAATATTGCAACAACCCTACTTTGCACTGAGCTACCAAAACAAACCACAGTCACCTAATTTACACATTCCCCACTTATCATATAAATATAAAAATGATATGCAGTTCTATGCCACCTCGGGGCGATGACAGTGAATGAACTTTGGCTCGGTAGTGTCGTGTGTGGTGCCTGCCAAAACGTGGAATTTCTTTTCTATAATTCCTTGTTGGGAGTTTGATCCGTGTCGCGGTGTCGCCCTCTTGTGGCCAATGACCAGAAAAACGGTCCTGACTGTTGTACTGTTTGCCTGCAAATTGGTCTCTTGTAACTGTGAGTGTTTGTACAATTTTTAAGACATTTTTTAAACATGGAGGTGGTTGTTTCTCAGGATTTGTAGCACCAAAAGGAAGATGTTGAAGTATTGTCTATACATGCAACAACCAAACAAGCGTGTGTAGAAGAAGAAAGTTGAACTACGGTGGCTGCTAAGGGACATTTTCTCTAAAGATTAACTGAATGATATACAGATAAGTCAGTGTAATCTTGCCAATATGTATATACAAACCTATATAATTCACCAATTAGCCATAACATTAAGACCACACAGTTAATATGCATTTCCATACAGATCTGCAAACCAACACAGGTCTATAGTGTAAAAACTGCAACATAAATTTAAAGTTTTATACTCGTTTCACCATTTGCAAAGCGTTTACTAATCAATTATTACAGACGGAGAAACTATACAAACATACTTCAACTAACATGCTGGTTTAAGGATGAAAAAAAGCAAAGAAAACTGAAAAAGCGTTGACTTTTTATGAATCACTGAGCAAACCACTAAACTGTGTATCTGAGAAATAACTTATATTTTTTTGCTCTGAATCTGTATTTGAAAGACGAAGAAATTTGTTCCAGACCCTTCCGTATTCAGATTGAAAGTGGACGGGTTGGTTTGCCAATTGGCTCATTTTTCTCGACAGACATGATCGACAACTGAAAAACCAAAGACAGGAGTAACTCTGACACTGGCCGCTTCAGAGATGGACACTTAAAGGTGCGTTGTGTAACTTTTCTGGTGGCGGATCGGTCGAACGCTTTTCTCTGTGGAGATGTTATCGCTTTGTCTGGATGTTTCACAGTATGGGAATAAATTTTTCTATCTTCATGGACATCAAGTTACATCAAGTTACAGGTTAGATCTGTGGAGATCTGTCAGAATGCTTGTTTTTTGAGGTATTTTTGAGCTATAAAACCATCTGTAATTGAATAAACGTATCGACATATCCATAGAAACAAGCAGGTGACTGATCCTAACCAAAAAGTTGAACAGTGTACTTTTCAATATGTTAGTTTTTTATACATATATGTACATTATAAAGGACACTTTTGCCTTATATTCCATCAACAATACAAGTAGGTAGTAGTAGTAGTAGTACAATATGTGTGCTATAAGTAATTTCATGTATAAGTGGATGTGATTGGATTATCCTAAAATTCCAGACCTTCCTGTATTCAATTTGAAAGTAAAGGGACTGGTTTGCCAGGTTGGCTGTTTCCAACTGGCTCATTCTTTTCAGTAGATGTGATTGACAAGTGAGGAACCAAAGACAGGAGCAGATGAGCAAAACACACCAACAGAACTGCAGTTTACATGTATTCTTCTTCAGTCAGTCAAATTCTTACCAGTTCTTCCATTTCAAAGGTGCACTGTGTAACTTTTTGTTTGGAGGTGCAGCGTCGGCAGTGATGCTCTCGATTTACCGCTCAGTCTACATTCCTCCCCTCACCTATGGTCATGAGCTTTGGGTTATCACCAAATCGTGGATACAAGTGGTCAAAATGAATTTCCTTCACAGAGTGGCTGGGTGCTCCCTTAGAGATAGGGTGAGGAGCTCAGACATACAGGAGGAGCTCGGAGTAGAGCTGCTTCTCCTCCATATCGACAAGAGAGAGCTGAGTTCTGGATGTCTCCCTTGGGAGATGTTCCGGGCATGTCCCACTGGGAGGAGGCCCTGAGGAACACCCAGGACACACTGGAGGACTATGTCTCTCGGCTGGCCTGGGAACACCTTGGGGTCCCCCTGGAGGAGCTGGAGGAAGTGTCCGGGGTGAAGAAATGGAGGATAATTACAGGTAGTTTTAAAGCTCAAAAATACTTAAAAAAAAAAAACAAAAAACATCATTCTAATTGTGAGCAGGGTCACCTCTCCACAGATCTGACCTTGTGATTTGGTCTGGTGAAGATAGAACGTTTTAATACCATACTGTGAAACATTCCAGACAAAGCACCAGAAAGTTACACAATGCAGCTTTAATTCTACCATTCTATCCCCTCTTTGCCTTATACTAACAGGTGTCGTACTGAAGAGGAGATTTCTAGTCTCAGTGGTCGTAATGTTTTGGCTGACGGTGAACGGTGAATATTTGTACACAGTGTTAAAATACTTTTGTACAGATGTGAAAAGTCTTTGTACAGTGCAGAGTCTATCAGATGTTATGGTTGTACAATGATTTCACTGAGCTGCATGTTACCACAAACTCTCTCTTTCTCTCACTTCTCTCCTCTGTCGGTCAGTGGATATGTCAACAATAAAAACTACGGATCACTGTGTGCACTTGTTTTGATTTCAGACTCACTTCAGAGGTCCTATATAACACAAAACTCACTCTTTCAAGCTTGAAGTCATGTTAGAATCTTGTTACTTTTTCAAAAACAAATGGAGTTGTGTTTTGCTTCATTCACACATGTTTGAGTAATCCTGGTTTATTAGTCTGTTTACATCTCCAAACACAAAATGTTCCACCTTGTGATGTCATGTAGTGGTAGTTTCCACATTAAAAGCTATGTTTTACCTTTAGTTTGTTGGAGAAAGGTTAGGTTAGGTTACTTTATT